TTGGTTCTTGCCTATAATGAAGGCTGAACAGTTGTAAAGACTGTAGATTATAGAAATGTAGAATGGTTGGGGTTGGAAGGGACCTTTAAAGGTCCTCTAGTCTAACCCCCCTGCAGTCAGCAGGGACATCTGCAACTAGATCATGTTGCTCAGAGCCCTTCTGACCAGACCTTGCATGTTTCCAGGGATGGAGCATCTACCACCTCTCTGGGCAGCCTGTGCCAATGTCTCGCCACCCTCAGCATAAAAAAATTCTTCCTTATATCTAATCTGAATCTCCCATCTCTTAGTTTAAAACCATCACCCTTTGTCTTGTCACAACAGGCCCTGCTAAAAAGATTGTCCGTGTCTTTCCTATAGGGCCCCCTGAAGTACTGGAGGGCTGCAGCAGGTGCCCCCACCTTTCTTTTCTTCAGGCTGAACAATCCCACCTCTCTCAACCTGGCCTCCCGGCAGAGGGGTTCCAGCACTTGCATCAATATTGTGGGCCTGCTCCAACAGGTCTGTGTTTCTCCTGTGCTCAGAACTGCAGAGCTGGGCTTGGTAGTCCAGGTGGGGATTCACCAGAGCCTAATATCTTGGCTGGGAGTGCAAATATATTCCTGTTCTTACCCAGTGTTACACAGTATTTTACTGCATGTTTTGTACTGGTTCAGCAGGATGAGGCAAGACAATGCCTTTGACACAGGTGCAATTGCAAATCTTCTATGTTACTGAAATGTCTGTAGATCAGACCTTTATTATAATTCCTTGCAAAATCTCTGCTTTCTGGATAAAAGCCATAAACCCAAACAGAACTGCATCATGTGGAAGTAATTTAGGAGTAGAGATTTTAAACATTACAAAAATATGGTTTAAAGTTTTGTATTTAAAAACAAATTTGAACTGTTTTCTAGCAGAAATAGTTTTGGCAACTGCTGAAAAATTGGTGTATGATTTAGTATGGGTAGGTAAATGGATTTCTTCAGAACTTGTCTTACCAATTACTTAAATAGGTCTGCAGTTGTGAAATCTTCAGAAGTATACTTCTAGTGGACTATGTTTGGACTTCAACCTACTTTGTAAGTCACTTCTGGTTTTGCCTGTCTGTTTTCTCTTTCCATAGGCAGTCTATAAAATTGTAGATTACCTTAGGTTTGAAGGAGCCTCAGAAGGTCCTCTAATCAACCCCCTGCTTAAACCACGTCAAACTTGAAAAGATCTTGTTGTGTACAGGCTCTAGTGCCTGACTGCTTTCATTGTGAAGACTTTTATTTCTTTATCTGATAAGAATTTCCCTTGTTGCAGCATGTCTGCTGCCTCTCATCCTTTTGCCATCAACTTCTAAGAAGCCTCTGACTGTGAAGATCGTGTTTGTATTTCCCTCTCCCTGCCTTTAGCCTTCTGTTCTGCAGATGGAATAAACTCACCTCCTTCAGCTGCATCTTGTGCATCATGTGCTCCAAGACCTGGCCACCCCGATGGCTTTTCTCTGAGCTGTCACCAGCTACAGGATTGGATGTGTCTCTGCATTTGCTGCTCTCAAGTTTCCCTCACACAGCTCTCCCAGCCAGCTGCAAGCTTAACTTCAAGTATTTTGCTGCTGTATTCTGTGAAACAATGATCCATGTTCATTATTTTATACCTGTATGCTGTCCCTTATACTGTGGAAGTTGTAGCAGCCTTTAGAGTTGGGAACGTGGTTTGTTCCTCCTGGGAGAGTTTCCTTTTCAGCTCTGTGGTGTTGTAGGCGTCAACGCAGAAGGTTGACAGAGTGAGTGACTTTCTGTAGTATTGATGAGGGTAGGCATTTAATCCTACTCTTCTCTCCTATGGCAAGAAATTTGAAGATGGAACAGTCATCACACTTTCACCAAGGGTCATCCTTTTTATCTGCTTGATATTCTTTTTTTCTTTTTTTCTAAGGTTAAAGCTATTCCCTTCAGTGCTGTGCCCTGTGTTATGTACCTGCCTGTGGTACTGCTCGTACCATTCCCAGTAACTAGCAGTCTTGAGATACATTGCTTTGGGTGTTTAGGTTTCAAAATACATAGCTGGCATTTTCATAGGCGGGTGTGAGATGAGTTGTGTAAAGTGTAGGATGTGAAAATAATTATATATTTGTTCCTCTCCCTTAATGAAGGGTGTCTGTGGGAGTAAGATAAATAAGCAGGAGTACTGTATGTGACAGTCTTCCTGAGCAGGCAGTACGGCAGTGTGGGATGCAGGTCACTGTCTTCTCTGCTCTGTCTGTACTATGCTTGTTGTGCTATGGTTAGCACAAAAATTGCTGATCTAATTTGGATTTATCTCAACAAATATTTCTTTTCCTAATAAGAGTTGCTCATGCAAATACTTTCAAAGGAGCTTTGAGATAGATGTAACTCTTCTTAAATGTACATAATGTGGGCACTTTGAGATATCAGGACATACCAGTTTATTAAGCATCTGTGTTGTTTAGTCTGCATTTTGTAGAGAAAGAAACTTCATGTTTTGGTAAAGCTGGTTTGTAGTAACTGGTATCATAATGGCTCT